TCATAGTGAAAAGACAAATAAAGAGAAAAAGAAAGAAAAGTGTTTGCCAACTAAATCTCTAAAATATTAATAAAGAAAATACTTTAAAATTATGTTATTTTTTAAAAGACTAAATTAACTTATTTTGGAATCAGGAATGAACTTATTTTAATCTTTTTTCTCAATGCTTTAATAAAATGACATAGTTTTAATGTGTTTTTTTTTTTTGGTCATTTTTTTGAGATTTAACTGACAAATTCTAATTATAAAAATAAAATAAAATAAAATAAACCAAGGAAACTTCTTCCCTTCCCTCTCCCCTCCAATTTTTTTATATCAAACAAAAGAATATTCTCCTCTTCCCTCTACTCATTTGCTTCAAATTAATCATACTTCTTAGGTTTTTTTGATTCAGGAAAGGGCATGAAAGGGGATATAATTAATTTCATCCAATCAAAGAAAAACAATAGGTTAACATTTTAATTGGGTTGTCTCACCTCCCCTCCTCTATTCATTTCTTTCAAAGCAAACAGACACTTAAAATTATTAATCATAAGGGAATAAGTGAGGGTCACTCATGATTGAAAAAAGAAATTACAATCCCTGTCTCAAAATTATGTAAATAGGATTTGATAAGAGGATTGGATAATAGAGATTAATTTCATTAATAGAAATGTCATTCCGAACGACATGAACCAATACAAGACAATAGCTCTAGCTAGCTAGAAAACTTAAAGGTGATAATAGATTAAACATGTACGTAGGACACATGATTTATTACTCAAGCTTTTGCATGGAACCCAATTATTTGAAACCCTAAACTTGCATAGAAAGGCAAACAACTTTATTCATCCGATAAAGATAAAGCGTCATTTAGAATTGTCCCCTCCGAGGGAAGCCATAGTTTGTCCCTGGAACATAAGAAGAGGGACCAGCACCATCATTTTCATATCCATTCATCATATGAGCAGAATCCATAAGTCCCGAGCGAGGAGCAGGAGCAGAAGCAGGAGCTTGGGTTGCCAACTTCTCATTGAGTTTGCCACAGACACGATTGCGGAGAGCATCCACATTATTCCCAAATTGTTTCAACTCTTCCAGGTTCAGCTTGTCCATTGGGACCTCCCACCATCCCTTGCTTTTTATCCTGGAGTTAAGTTTGGTTATCACCTTCCCTCGCTCCACTTCTGCTTCCAACTGCTCTATCAGCTCGTTGTATTGCTGCTCCAGCTGGCTAATCCTCATCCTCCTGTGAGCCTCAACGAGAGGATGCGTATTATCATTTGGCGGCGCGTTTTGCTCCAGAAACCTATTCACCACCGATTCAACAGAAGGATGTCCGAATGAAAATGGTTTCCCTGAGAATTAGGAGAAGGAGAACTCAATTTTAGCACATTAAAAAAAAGAAGACATAGATGGAGTTTTGTACAGGAAATGGAAGTCTACCTGCAGGTGAAAACACCACGAAACCAATTTCAGCACCACAGAGGGTAATCAACTCACTCGCCTTTTTGTAGATACCAGATCTACGTTTGGAGAAGGTAATCAGCCTGTCCTCCTCCTTTTCGATCATCTTCATCTCGATCTTTTGCCTTCCTCTGGTTTTCTTCCCAGATGGTGGTGGAATGGTTTTCTTCTTTGATGTGGTCATCTCTAAGCAAAGAAAAGCGAAGGCTAGTAAGAATTTTATTTGAGACTGGGATGGTTTTGTTCTTCAAACTTGGGGCTGTATTTATAGGAGGGGGAATGCTTAAGATATTCCTTTTTGAATAAAAAAATTATTTAGTCCAGATATATTTTATCTGGAGTTTCTCTATTAAGGAATTATAAATTTTTATATTATCACTTAAATTTATAATTTTTTCTAATATTTATAAGAAAAGAATTTATATTAATTTTTAGACTATGAAGGAAATTAAGAAATACTATATATGTACTTTTTTTGGCTCACTTTAGAACATATTTATTAAAATATTATTATTTTTAAATTTAAATTAAAGATTAAAAAACTTTAAGTTATAAATTTTAATAACTAAATTAATGAGTATTGATAGGTATATTTAAATAGAAAGTATATTAATTATTAGTTTTAGGATATTTTTTATCTAATTTTTTACAATACAAATTGATATTCAATTTTCTCTGTGTGTGTATGTATATATATATGTATATATATATATTACTTTAATTTTACGTGTAATTACCTAAATATATAGATTGTTTTTCCTATTTTAGCGACCCCTATTTGGAGGGTCGATCATTGTTAACGTGGATTTGTGTCAATCGGAAAGAACTAGGGTTTGTTGTGCTGTCGCGCCGGAACCTACCAACGACTAGTTGTGTACTGACCGGAAACTTTTGTTGGTTATATTAGAGAAAAAAAAAAATTAGAGGAAATATATGTTATTTGCAAACAAAGAAAGCTCATAAAGGCCATATTCAGGGTCTATCTAGAGAAGGATGTTTATAATTTAATGGAAAATAATTTGCATATTTTCCGGTTAAACACACTTATCAATATCCATTAGGTTAGCCATCAAATATTGTTAAAAGTTTTTTGCCTTGAATTTAAATTTAAAAATAATAATTTTGTAATAACTATATTATAAAATATGTTAAATTAGAGGTATACCAATTATTGTTCTAATTCAATAGATGATTGGAAATGAATTAGAAGAATTATGGATTAAATTGATATTTTCTAGTCTTTTTTTATCAACTAAATAAAATTTTTATAAAAAGAGGTGTTTTACATGTCAACCTCTCAAAATTTTTTTGGATGACATGTTTAAAAAACTTTTCTTCTAATTTATATTTTCAAAAGCCAATTATTAGATTGAAAATTTTAATTATTCGTATAGATCATGTGTATATAAATTTTCATGTTGATCTAATAGTAGAGATGATGCCAACGTTGGGCAAGGAGGGGCAGCTGCCCCCTAAACTTTTGAAAAATGTTTAATATAGTACAGATATTTCTTTTGCAAAATTTTATTTTTGAATTTTGAATTATAAGGACTAGTCAAATATAAAGAAAATATTTATGACTTAGCTAAAAGGATATTTGTGACTAATTTTTATTAAAACAAAATAATTTTATCTAGCTAAGTACAAATATAAAAAAAAAGTTTAGATCCAATTATATTAATTGTAACTTATATTAGTTTTTATGTTAATTATATATAATTTTTGTTTGTATAATTAATATTTTATTAAATCAACAGTTAAATCTACTCTATTTATGTAAATTATATGTTTCAAATTTAAAGTTAATTTGATATGTGTAACCTTACAAAAAAAATAAACTATTTTTTGTACTATTTATTTAATAGTATTAAATTATATGCTATTCAAAATAGTTAAACATATACTTAATTAATTTAAATTTTGGTGTGAATGATATAAGTGGTATATGCATAAGATTAGTGATTGATTTAAAAATTGGTATAAATTGTACCATATAAATTGATAAATGACTCATAAAAAATTTAAAATTTTACCCCCTAACACAAATTCCTAGCTTTGTTCTTGTTTAATAGGCTTAACCACTTCATTAACTATAAGAAATTTAACATTGTTAGATATATATAAGTAAATAGAGTTACTTTGATCAAAAGTTTATAAGTGTTAAATCAATATGAAAATTGATATATATGATCTCCATGAATATAATTTTCAATCCAACAATTGGTTTTTGAAAATGTTAATTAGAAAGTAGGTTTTTAGATATGTTCTCCAAAAAAAAATTTTAAGAGGATGAGTGGTCTTACACTGTCTTCAATTTTTATTAACTCAAAGTATAAAAAGTATGCTAATCCTATGATCAATTCTCTATTTGTCACAAGTAATTAATTCAAGTTTAAAAGGCAAACCACCTTGTATGGTCACTTTTTAAACTTGAACATTAATTGATAAACACTCTAGAATAATATACTATACATTATGCTTATTAAATAATTATTATTTTGATTTAAAATTAAAAACAAATAAATTTAAAAATGCAGCCATACATATAGTATGTATGAATCAGTTAAATCAATTATACTTATATTTTAAATGGATGTAACGTGCTATTAAATAAATGTAACATGCTATTAAATAAATAGGTGCATACAGTATCATAAGTGGACTTAAGTGAAAATAGTAAATTATATAATGACATATCATATTGTAAATTTATAAAGTCACATGATATTGTAACTATATTTTTTTTAAAATTAATGAAAGTATATAAAATTAATTAAAATTGATTAATAATAATCAAATTATATTTTAAATAAGGTGCTATATAAAAAAGGTTTGTGAAAAGTATAGTTAAACAACACCTTAATATTATATTATACAAAATTATTAAATTTTCAAACCATATTTATGTTTGGTTTGACAATGCTACATTGTATTCATAGAATTTTTTTTTTTTGTCTTTTACTATCCTAAAAAAATTTAAATTATTAATTAAAATTAGTAAAATATATAAAATAATTAATTAAAATTAATAAATTTACATTTAGACGAGGATAGTATCTTCACATTGGTCCAGCTAAATTATTAAAATATAATACAAGTACAGCTTGATTTAGTTAGTTCTTGTATCATATGTGTATCGTTACATTTTTAAGTTTGACTGCTTTTAATTTCATATAAGAATACGATGTTTTTTTAATAAATGTGTTACATAATGTGTTGAATTGGAGGATATACCAATTATTTTTTTTTATACAAAGCACTATATGAAAAAATTACGTAAGAAGTACGGTCAAATAAAACCTTAATTTATCTATTAATAATAACTAATAGATGATATTCTATATATAATGATTAACCATTTTAATTATTTATAATTTAAATACCCTTATTCATCCAATTAAAGAAAGTAAGTATTAATTATTTCTTAAAAATTATCCATCAAAAAAAAAATATTTATCAATAACTCAATCAAATATGGCCTAAATTTTTTGAAAAATCATTCATATTAACTTTTAATTATATTAATAGATTAAAAAGTCAAAAAGAAGTCAACGACTTAAATGGTTAAATAGTATTTTTTTTAATGAAAGTAAAATATCTTAAATTCAAGTCCTATGAAGTATGAATTGGGTGGATTAAGAGATGAGAAAGAATTAGCTTCCATTTTGTAACTCATGATTAAAAAAAAAAAAAAAGTAAGAAAGAATAATTTAACATAAAATTAACTTTAATAAGATGTGATAATAAGATCACTCTAATGGTTATCAAGAAAAGAGACTAATAAAAATAGAAAACTTGAGGCTTGTTTTGTTTAAATGATTGTGTGCATTGAAAATCAAAGAATACGAAAATTAATTACTAGTTAGTATATACCTATTAAATTAGGATAATGATTTGCGGGACGAAAGTGGGGAGCGAAAATGAGAGCCAACAAGTGAAGTTGGTTAAATGGGTAATTTTGTAATTTAACCAACTTCACTTGTCTTCACTTGTCGGCTCCCATTTTCGCCCCCCATTTTCGTCCTGCAAATCATTATCCATTAAATTAATGCATTTTGAGTTTTTTCTTTCCCTTGTTTTATGGGTCCCACAAACAATTCACCAAAAATAATAAACTATTGCATTTAATTGTCCAAGATGCCTCCATTAAATGGAACCCATAAATAGTGTTAGGATGGTGTTAGGAGAGGGAGGTAGACCTGGCAAAATTGGATCTAATCTGAAAATCCGACCCAACCCATTCGTTATGGATAGGGTCATGGATCCTATGTGTTAATCTGAAATCTGAAATCTGAAATGATCAAGTCTGAAGTTATCTGAATCCAAATGGGTTGGGTCGCAAGTGGGTGGGGCACCCGAAATTATCCGAACTTTTTTTTATTCATTTTTTATTAGATTACTTAAAAAATAATTTTAAATTTCTAATTTCCTAATCCTAAAAGTAGAAATAAATAAAATACTCAAACCCTAATCTCTCATCAATTTCACTTTTTCTCAACTTTTCCCCTTCTCCACTCTCACTCTCCCCTTCTTCATCTTAAGCTCTCTAATCCTTCTCTTTGGTGGCACTCGCGTAAAAAATTAGATTATGTGACACATAATGAGTTATGTTATATGATATTGTAAAAAAAAATCATTTTTTAAAAATAAAAAGTAAGAATGGCTACTGAAAATCAAAATCCAAAGGTTACATAACCATTAAAACTACAAAGACAAGAGCATCAAGAGCATCAAGAACATCAAAGTCCGTTCTTAGTTGCTAACTTATTCGTAATTAATAACTTGTTCCTAATTAATAAAAATCAATTTCAATCCAATTTCTTCTTGTATTTGGTTAGACATATTTTGGATTTGGCTTGACAGATTTTGGATTTGGCTTGACAGATTTTGGATTTGGCTTTTAAACTTTAATATTAAATAATGTTATTTTTTTTGTGTAATGTCCTCTTAAATATTGAATAGAGCTGTATTTTTTGTATAATACTATTGTAAATATTGAATATGTACTAGATATTAATATATATATATATATGTTGGATT